GTGGACTACAGCCCACTTCTTCGGATGCTGTAGTCCACGAAAGCTTATGCTCTAATAAATTTGTTAGTCTCTAAGGTGCCACAAGTCCTCCTGTTCTTCTTTTTGCGGATACAGACTAACACGGCTGCTACTCTGAAACCTTTCATTATGTTTAACAGATTTACTCCACAACCCGGAGGACTACAGACTTAGGGGTTTTGTTTTGTTTGTTTGTTTTTGTTTTTAAAAGCAAGTTAAGAGTCTTTGAAAATCGCTTGATTCCAGCTGCTGGGGATTCAAGAAAAGTATTGAGAATTCATTTGCAAACTTAACACCATCAATTTGGGCTTGAATGGGGACTAGAGGTGGTTGGCTCACTACAAAAGCAATTTTCTCTCTCTTGGTATTGACACCTCCTTATCAATTATTGGGAGTGGACCAATCCACCCTTACTTACTTGGCCTTCAACATTAGTTCTCCACTAATAAGGTAACTCCCTTCTCTTCGTGTGCCAATATATATTTATGGCTGTTTCTGTAATTTTCACTCCATGCATCTGAAGAAATGGTTTTTTACCCACGAAAGCTTATGCCCAAATAAATCTGTTAGTCTTTAAGGTGCCACCAAACTCCTCGTTGTTTTAATGAAATTTTGAGACTTGGCAATCCAGAGTTAGAAACATAGGCAAATATAGGCCCATAAGCATATGTAAATACAGAAACACATATGCACAGAAATACATGCAGGGCACACATAGACATAGATGTATATGGGCATGTACACTCATACCTATGAATATACAGACACACCAAAGCATCAACACACAAAAATACCCACAAGAGAGCACACAAAGCCGTACGTGTCTGTAGCATAGACACACATACACACTTGAATGGGAATGGGCATGTATATATATGTATGGACATACACACATGGGTGGGTACACACCCATGGCTATGTGTACTCATATTTGCCAGCATACACCTATGGACCTACTTACTCATCTGAATCAGCTATGAAATAATACAAGTGAAGCTAATCAATGGAGAGGAGCCATGATTAGAAACAGATGGACAATACATTTTCCTCCAAAGGTAAGCAGTCCGGTGCCCTAACATCAGTCCAAAGTAAGTAAGATATGGCGTTTCATGGACTAGGGCAGGCAACCTTTCAGAAGTGGTGTGCCAAGTCTTCATTTATTCACTTTAATTTAAGGTTTTGCGTGCCGGTAATACATTTTAACGTTTTTTTTAGAAGGGGTCTCTCTCTAAGTGTATATTATATAACTAAACTATTGTTGTATGTAAAGTAAACAAGGTTTTCAAAATGTTTAAGAAGCTTCATTTAAAATTAAATTAAAATGCTGATCTTATGCCGCCAGCCTGCTCAGCGCGCTGGGTGGGGGGTTCAGGGCAGAGGGCTGGGTGTTGGGGGGGTACGCGAGGTCAGGGTAGAAGGCTGAGTGAGGGGGGGTTCAGGGCAGAGGGCTGGGTGTTGGGGGGGACTCGAGGTCAGGGCAGAGGGCTAGGGTGTGTGAACGTGCAGGGCACAAGCCTGGGTGTGGGGG